GAGGTGTGTGGCACTCCTGCCCATGTTTGCAGTAGCTGCAGATCCCCATACTTTGAATTCTCATGAGTATTTAAAGGAAAATGTTTTCCTTGGGCTCTGTGCCCTTGTCAGCGCATTTGTCTAAAAGTTGAAATACTTTCTGCTCGGTAAATACCTGCTCTTCTGCCCCCAGCCCCTCTCTGCGGGTCCCCTGCCCCTACATCCTCACGATCAACAAGAGCACCTGCCCAGCCCAGGCTGTTGGTCAGTGTCCTTGACTTAGAGAAGCAGCAGTTTCACGTGGTTCAGCATAATTGTCATTGTCTTTTGTAGAGTGAACTTTATATATTTGGCATAGATCTAGGTGCTTTATGTGCATTTTCTCATTTAACCCTCAAAAATATCCCTCTTATACCCATTTTACAGGCAAAGCAGCAAAGGCTCCTGTGGTTAAGTTCACATAGTTAGGGAGCAGCCCAGCCCTACCTGGGTCTCTCGTCTGCTCAGTGCCGCCTCTCCTCTCTTCTAGTTTGCAGCTTTCAGTTTCTACAGGATGGAAAACCAGATAACCAAACTTAATAGGATGACGTTTAAAATAACGAAAAAGACAGAGACCTCTTGGATTTTGTATCTGTCTTCCAGAGACCTTCCTGCAGGGAATAGTGTTTGGTGAGGCTATTCTTTTTTTTTTTTTTAATACAGAGAAATTTCTCTTTTTCTTTTTTGACTTTTTTTCTTTTTTCTTTTTTTATGGGGGCCAATTAGGTTTATCTGTCTATCGATCTATCTTTAATGGAGGTGCTGGGGATTGAACCCAGGATCTTGTGCACGCTAGGCACGTCCTCTACCCCTGAGCTATTCCTTCCCCCGGTGATGCTATTCTTGAGCAGCACTCCATGTTTCTTTTCCATAAAAAAAAGTTGTTTTTAATTTGCATATGAAATACATAAATGCACAATTATGTTCTTGGCATAGAAACTCTAGTCATTACAGAGCTGCACAGAATAAGGCGTGGACGGCTCCTTCATTGCTCTTGTGGAAACTGCCTTTGTGGCTTTGGGGAGCTGGGAGGTCTTTGGGACCCAGGCTTCTGAGAGCTGAAGCAGCTGCTAAGTTAGTGAGTGCCGGATGCGGGGGTGACTGACAGGCGAATCGGTTGAGATAAGTCAACGTGCAGACTTTGCCCGGGGCTGAAGTTCTCCTGTGTAATTTCATAGTCGGCCCTGAGTGCTTGCTACATGCCATGCCTGTTCTTTGGGCTTTCCAGGATCTAACAACCCTATGATTCAGATACTTTATTCCCATTTTACAGTTCAGAAACTGAGGTCCACAGCACTTAACTAACTTGCCAGCCTTGCTCTGTGCAGACAGCAGAGCTGACATTTGACCTTGAGCATCTAACTTCGGAGTGTATACCTACCCACTTGCTGTCTCTGCCTCTTTCCTGTAGCAGGAAAGTGGGACGCTAAACTTCCTCCTTTCAAAGGAAAAACGTATGCAGCTGGGGTGCTTTATAGAACTCCTAAACATTAGCTCATTAAATTCTCCAAACTACCTTATGAGGTAGGCCCTGTTATCATCCCATTTTGCAGATGAGGAAACAGAGGCCCAGAGGCTAAGAAAGTTGCCCAAGATCACACAGCCAGCAGGTCAGAGCCAGCAGTGGGCCCCTCCTCCTGATTACAGCAGAGGAGAAGCCTTTGGGTCCCTGGAGCAAGCAGACTATATAATTTCCTCCCCTCCCACACTCATGGGCAACGGGGCTATTCTTCTCTTTTTTAATTATGTCCTTTTCCTTTCGGAAGGTAGCCTTTCGATTTCCGCTGCCTTGGTTACCAGAGATCCGTCAGAGGAACACCAAGGCACTGATCTCTTCCTTTCTCTTCCGCTCCCCAGGTCTTTCCTTCTGTCTTAGTCTTTCCTCTCTTCCCTGCATCGCTCTGCCTGGGATTTTTCCAGTGACCTGTGAGGGTGGGTGGTGGCTTTGTGTAGCCCTTAGTTCTCCTTGGCCACCAGGAGACATCTCGTCTCCCTCGACATCCCTTTTTCAGCCATGACCCCCTCTAGCTTCCGTCCTGTACCAAAACCACTGCTGGGGAGTTAGATACATACTTGGGTGTCTTACCAGTTTATAAACTAGCTTTTTAAATTGGCATTTGAGACTTAAGTCCTCTATAGAACAATGTGCATTTTCCTTTTCTTTGTCTCTGTCATGAACGGACTCTGAACTTATCATCGAAGTAGACCTCCCTGTTAAGGTTAACTTAACTTTCTATTTTTTTAAATTCTCAGCACACTGTAACATAACTTTTATTTAAACATTGAAAAAAAAAGGAAAAAAATTGAAAAACAATCCATTCATTACCATTTCCCCATCATTTAGGCTTCCTTTGCCTATAGTTACATGTTAAGCACTTGAAGTCACAGTATATGACTGGTCTTCTGCTTTGCATTTTTCATTTGGCCAAGGAAGTAATATTTTACCCGCGCTTGTTTACAATTTAAAGCTATCATGTGTTGAATGTTGCAAATCAAGTTTAGTTTAGATAAATATCTCTCGAAGGATGCACTTATCAGATGACTCGCACACGGATTATTTTCCTCCTAATCTCTAATCCTTTCCAAATCGAGCTGAACTGAGGAGGGTTTGGGTAGTCACGGGGGTTTTCTTGCATTGTGCGGGGGTTTGGAAAGTACCTGCGACTCCTTAGCTGAGCTTCTGTGCCAGACCCTGACCCTGTCTGATAGCAGCAGCTGAGAGTGTTGTTATTCTCCAAGCGCCCCTGGTTACAGTTATTCACACGAGGCCGAGGGATCCCTTGGTAAAATCCTTACCATGGGGCTCAATTTGTGTGATGGCAAAAGCGATTCCTTTATAAAATTACTGTTATCATTGAGTAGGTCTGTGAAACTTGCTATAATGATTATCCACACATCCTGTGAACTCTTTAACTACTAATCATTTAGAGACTTGGACACTGAAGGAGTAGGGAGGAAGATGTGGGGGTTAAATCAGCCACCCTAAAGTCAGATAGACCAGGGTTTGTATCTAGGTCTGTTTCTAGCTGTGTGATTCTGACCAGTCACAGTCTTTAGGCCTCAGTCTCTCTATCTGTAAAATGGGGATGTTAATGCTTCCTACTGTCAGGGAGATCAAACATGGTAGAATCTGTGAAGCTTTTAGCCAGTGACCGGCATATATCAGGCACTCTAATTTTGCTGATAGCAGTAGAAGTTCTTGCTTGTGAAATGTGCCTTGAATGTAAGGGAAAACTCTGAAGAGAATAGGGGTGGGAGAGAAAATAGGGCATTTTTCTTGTCTGGTTTTGACTGCTTTATGCATATTATCAGGCAGAACTTCAGGAAAGAAGAGAGGAGGCATTTTCTGGAAATTACTGCCCCCTAGAAAGTTTCCCCTGTTCTTGACAGGTTTTCCGTGCCTTATAACTGACTCCTCCCATCCTTTGGACACCCATAAGGGAAAGTATAAAGTTGGACGGATTGTTGACAAGTATAGGAGAAGCCATCTTTTAAGGCTCATTGGAGTTGTGAGTAATCACTGGGAGGAATATATTCAGTAGAACTTTGATTGGATTATTGCTCTTTTATAGTAATTTTTACAACCAAGTGAAAGTGTGTGTTTGGGTCTTAATGACGTGTGTGTTATGTTAGAGTTTTCTCATCACAGGAAACTAAAAATGTTCCCAAGGGACAGTTTACTGAAATTTACTCCCTCCATGGGTATGAATGATACTAGCATAGAAAGTTGAGCCTGCTTTTAAAGACATCACTCATAGCAAATAAAGTCACTGTTCACTATTATTTCTCAGAGATGAAGGTGAGGTACAGGAGTCCATGAATACAGGAGAAACAGCACAAGCCTAGAAAATAAAAATCTTAGTAACAATTTCAATATATTTTAATAATCTTCCTGGGAGCATCTTAGAATTTGATCATTTTGTAGGTGATTAGTTTTCTCGGACAACTATTTAAACTTCTGTTTTTGAAAAGCTCATTGTTGTGAGTGCTATTAGTACTGTCTTTGTTTTCATACCTTTTTTGGTTGTTGTTTTTCCCCTTTTCTGTTTATCGTTTTGAAGTTTAGTAAATGGTGGCCGAGTCTAAGTGTCAGCTGGCAAATTATTGTGTGTTCCCTAAAGCCTTTATCTGAAAGAAAATTATTTTTCTGAATTCTTAATATTAGTTCAAAGAAAAAATGACTAGGTTGTACTTAAATTTGTCCTTAATGTCCTCAACGTCCTAGGTTGTACTTAAACATGCCCTTTTTGTTGTATGGGAGAAGATACCACTTATCAATTTCAGTACCTTTTTGTAATGATAAGACTCATTTAGATCAAAACTTGTGTTTACAAATGCATTTGTGCATCCTCACAGATAGTCATGAAGGGCAAAGAAAAAAAATTTTTATTTGGGAAGAATGATATGCTCTGTTAATGCTTCTTTTAAAACTCCATGCATTTTGCAAAGTTTTTAGTGGAGAAAATTGGATTGTGGGGGGCAAAAAAAAACCACCCTTTATTATTTTATATGGAAAGCACAGATATGTATATAGTGCATAAACAGATGTGTATCTGCAGTATTATAGTTTCATGGGAGGGTGGTTAGGAAAAAAGAGTCAGAAAAAGGGTTGGAGTGGGACAATAATGAGAAAAAGTTGAGAAACACCATATAAAGCTTTCAGTGTTTAACACTTAAAAGCAGCAATGTTGAAACTAGAGTTAATTTTCCTCCTCTTGGGATGTTGTTTGAGATGTTAAATGCTTAATGTTGGTGTCAGCTCACATGGTGAATAGTGATTTTTATTGTTTCATCTCTAGAGAATTTGTTGTGGTTAGTCCTGGGAACAGTGCTTTAAAAATCAATGGAAAGGGGTCAGGAGTCAGTAAGAACATCTGGCCTTGCCAGGAAATATGCAGGAGAACTTGAACATTCACTTCAGGCTTTCATTCTTAGGACCTGACGTCTTACAAAAGATGAAAAGATCCCGTGTGTCTGCGTGTGGGGGTGGGGTAGGCACTCAAGAAGCTTAGATTCAATTTGCTTTAGTTGGCGGCCTAGACCCCACCTACAAATTTGGATTTTTTTAAAAATTAACATTAGAAGGCTAATTTAACTCAGTTCATATTAGATAACTGATGTGTGTGACCAACACTCGAAATTTTTAGAGATCTGGCTTGAGTTAAGGTCTATGGTCCTTAAGCAGAGCTCAGCCGAATGTCCCACCTGTAAAGTTAACTCTTCCTCAGCCCGTATTCTGTGTGGGATGGACTTCATATTACATGGGTGTCCAGAATTTAGGGCTAATTATTTAAGCACATATAAGTTCTTAGACATACATTACACTACATATTTGACAGAATGAGTTAAATGCCGTTTCCCTTTGGTTTGAGATGATGTGTGGAGAAATGTCTTCTGTATTATGCTGCTAAGATGTGGAGGGAACAAAGCTCTGTAGCAGATCTGCTTTCCTCTGCATAGAGTCTGTCACTCTTAGTAAATTCCTGCGTGGTGAAAATGTGGCAGATGGTGCCACGTCATGGGGTTACCTTAGGGAAGACCCTTTCTTCTCCAGGGCCCTAGGGCCTCATCGGTGACCTGGAGGAACTCAGTGTTTTTCTTTGTTTTTTTTTTTTGAGTTATAGTCAGTTTACAATGTTGTGTCAATTTCCAGTGTAGAGCACAATTTTTCAGTTATACGTGAACATACATATGTTCATTGTCGCATTCTTTTTCGCTGTGAGCTACCACAAAATCTTGTATATATTTCCCTGTGCTATACATTATAATCTTGTTTATCTATTCTACATATGCCTGTCAGTGTCTACAAATTTCAAACTCCCAGTCTGTCCCTTCCCACCCCTCCTCCCCCAATGAGGTGTTTTTCTAACAGCTTTTCTGATGTGATACTTCTGTGATGTCATCTGATTCATTCCATTTTAATTCTCTACTTTTTTCCCCCTCCTCAGCAAATGCTGATGTTTTAAAAGCTATGGTGGCAGATAACAGCCTGTACGACCCTGAAAGGTGAGTGCTCGGCCCTCCTTTAATGGGGCTTTTGTTATCAGTTATCTGCTAGAGCAGGTTTCCCAACTTTGGCACTGTTGACATGTGGGCCAGATAATTCTTGGCTGTGGGGAACTGTCCTGTGCATTATAGGATGTTTAACAGCATTCCTGGCCTCCGCTTGCTAGATGCCATTGTCCTGGTCTCCTGCTGGGTGACAACCCAAAACTTCTCTGCACATTGTCAGTGTCCCCTGGGGGCAAAATTGCCCCTGGTTGAGAACTACTGTGTCAGCGAATCCTGGGGCAAGGATTGGGGTGGGGGGAGTGGCAGCATTGGAATTAGGGACCTGGGTTGGGTCTGACCCTACACTCATGGGTCACCTCTTCTCGGGTAAGTTAACAACCACTCTGACCTCACATTCCATCATCTGTAAAGTGGAGATAACTGTTGTGCCAACGTCACTGGGTTATTATGAAGAATACAGAACACCCCAGGCATCAGAAGACCTCCGTGAACAATGAGGATTAAAGGAAACCTGGTTAGGCTGGTTTGGGGCTCCTGCTAAGTTCTGTTCTTGTATTACCAGTTTTTAGTTATGGTTATTGAGCATCATAATCCTTCCTAATTAATTACAGGTAACTGTATTTCTAGATAATCAAGGAGCACTTATTTAAGGCTTGCTGTGTGCTGGGTCTGGTCCTGGAGCTGGGCCTTCCCAGATCCTCGCTGTGGAAGACTTAGGGAGTGGGAGACTCAAACACAAGGCCTTGTGCTGGAGAGCAGGAGAGTCCTGGAGAAGAAGCAAAGCCTGCTCACTCTGGGGGCTCCTTGATGCCAGTGGGAGGTCAGGGAAGGTTCACAGAAGTGCCCTCCGAACTGGGCATGCACCGGCCAGAGATGAGAGGCAGGGGCTGCTTGTAGGTGGAGATAGTCCAGGACAGAAGGCCCCTGAGAGTGAAAGTGTGGGATGCCTCTGGGAAGGTTCAGTCTGGGGAGGCCAGGGGCCACCCTGTGGACAGTAGCAAGAAGGGCCGGGGAGGCATGTTGGGTCTGAGTGACCTGGTGAGGAGTTTGGACCTTTTTCTGCTTCCTCTGTGGGTGGTGCACCCAGCACATCTAGCTATTTAATATGTGTTTGTCACACTGGCCATGTTAGATTTGTGTGTTAGCGGGGTGACTTGGTGCAGGAAGCTCGGGTGCTGTAGTTCGTAGAGACCTACTAGATGAGATTTCCGCCCCACTTCCAGCCCTGACCACAGACACCCCGCATTAGGACCATGTCACCTCATTCATCTCAGGGCATCCTCTAGTCCCTGTCATTGGATTTTGTGCACAGCAGGTATTTGATCGATGTTTGTTAAATGAATGTTGTTAAACTTTCAAATTCAACCTCTTAGTATGTAGTGTTAATTTAACACTGTTTTACCCTAGAAAGCTGCTGCTATGTGTTTTCATTTTAACAACATGTAAAGAGCATCCCTAACAAACAGCAGAAAACTTACGGCTGTCAGCGATGTTTGAGACCGTCACTTCGATCAGGCGTGCTTTGTTTGAAGTGGACAAGTGGGCCGAGTATCAGCAGCATAAAGGCTGGATTTGGCTGTTGTAGGACCTCCGTGTGCCGGCGGGGCTCCTGGCACAGTCTCGAGGGTTGGGCTCCACTGCGATGTGCTGCCCCAGCAACAGCCCCTCCCCACATCAGAGGGCTGATTCCTGGCCAGGGGGCCCCATCCGGTCTTAGTTCCTCCTTTTCTAGTGGACCTGAGCCTTGACATGTGCCTTTGGAAGCAGCCAGCATCTGAGCTGCATACTGCTGCTTTTTACATTTTGCACGGTCTGGCTGGGGTTCCTTCCAGGTATTTAAAGCACTCTCCCCTGTTTCTGAAGCACTATGGCCTGATGGTTAAGAGCAAGGTTTCTAGATTTAGTCCGTCTAGATTTGGATTTCAGATCCATCACTTATTAGCTGTGTGACCTTGGGCAATTTACTTAACTGCTCTGAGGCTCAGCGTCCTCATTTTTAAAATGAGGAAATTAGTAATACCTACCTCATAAGATTTTGTAAAGATGAACTGAGTTAACATATATCAAATGCTTAGTCTGCTGCGTGTTAGTTATTTTTATTATTACTATTATCAACATCTCTTTTGAGCATCACTTTTTTTAACATTTTAAAAATTGAGTTGTAGTCATTTTACAATGTTGTGTCAAATTCCAGTGTAGAGCACAATTTTTCAGGTATACATGAACATACATATATTCATTGTCACATTTTTTTTCACTGTGAGCTACCACAAGATCTTGTATGTGTTTCCCTGTATAGTACAGTATAATCTTGTTTATCTCTTCTACATGAGCATTACTTTTGATATCTTGACCTAAAAGCTTTCTTCCTTTGACATAATGGTCGGATTGGATCAAATATTTTATCTTAAGTCATCTGATAATTTGATTAGAATTTAAGTTTTTCTTTCCTCCAGGGCACGTGTGTTCAGGGCATCTCTTTGCTTAGAGATCTAGGGAGGCACTTGGATATGTGTGAGAAATTAGTTTGCATGAAATTAGATTGAGAAATTATCATGGGAAGGGAGCTAGGCCATTTAGAAAGAAACCTAATACTTTAAGGACAAACAATGCATCATCATTAGAAGCAGTAGTTTATTTCCAGCCAGTTAATTCCTTACTAGAAGTGATAAATCACGTTATTACTGTTTAAAATGGCTGTCATCGTATAGTCATGAGAGCTGAGTACCTGCTGCTGAAGATGGATTCACAAAGCCCATTTGTATAATTGGAAGAGAAACCTTTTCTCTTGATTTAAACCTGCTTCTTACATTGCAGAGGGAGAGATTGCCGTGGCTGGTATTTCTTCTAAGTATCCAGTTCTACCTTTCCCTTTTTCTTCCCACCTCAGCCCCGTGACCCCCAGCACTCCTGGGAGCCCGCCTGTGAGCCCCGGGCCCTTGTCACCAGGGGCCACCCCAGGGAAGCACGTCTGCGGCCACCATCTGCACACAGTGGGCGGTGTTGTTGAGCGGGACGTGTGTCATCGGTGTAGGCACAAGCGGTGGCACTTCATAAAACCGACCAACAAGTCCAAAGAGGGCCGCTCAAGGCGCCAAGGAGAGGTCACCGTCCTCTCTGTGGGCAGGTGAGTCCTGGGGGCGCTTTGGGTTTGTGTGGCGTGGTTGCTGTGCTGTGTGGATTTGCGCTCACCTGTTAAATGTAGAGTATGTTCTCCTGAACCTGGCTCAGGTCCTGTCTCTGGGCTTCTTTGATGTTTTGTGGTCGGAGTCCTGCATTTTTCTAATAGCAGAAGAATTCTAAGAGGTGGCTATTGCAAGATCAAATGTGAGATGTATTAATTAAGGTAACAAATTAATTACTTGCTGAATTGAGGTTCTCCAAAGAGGCAGAATCAATAAGATGTATATATACACACACACATACACACATAAAAGAGGAGATTTATCATAAGAATTGGCCCACACAATTATAGAGGACAAAGAGTCCCACAATCTTCTGTCTGTGAGCTGGAGACCCAGGAGAGCTGGTGGTGTCATTCAGTGTAAGTTCCGAGGACTGAGAACCACGGGAGCTGATGGTGTAAGTCCCGGTCCCAGTCTGAAGGCCCTGGAACCAGGAATGCTCATATCTGATGTCAAAAGAAGAAGAATGTCTCAGCTCAAGCAAAGAGAGCGGATTCAGCCTTCTTCCTTTTTGTTCTATTCAGGCTCTCAAGGGATTGGTTGATGCCCACCTGCATTGGTGAGGGTGATCATCTTTATTCAGTCTGTTGATTCAAATGCTAATCTCTTCTGGAAACACCCTCCCATACACACTCAGAACTAATGTTCGACCAGCTCTCTGGGCAGCCCTTAGCCCAGTCATGTTGACACATAAAATTAACCATCACACTTGCTCTGATGGATAAAGCCCAAATCTCAACTCTATACAGAATACAAGTTTATATTTCGCTTGTTGGAATCAAAAGATCAGTGATGGATCTTCAAGCAGTCGTCCAGAGCCCCAGGTCCTTTCGATCTTGCGGCTCTGCCAGGTTTGCTGGAGGAGAAAGTATGCAGAGGATTGGTCATGAGAGATTTTTAATGAGATGGGCCTGAAGTGGCAGATTCATTCTTGTGCACATTCCTCTGGCGGGAACTCAATCCCTCGGCCACACTTAATGGCCAGGAGAGATGAAGGGGAGAGAGGGAGCTGGTCGCTGCTCTCCAGTCCCTGCCCTGTAAGAGCCACGCGGACTCCTGGGACTGCTTTCCTGTAGTTCACCTCCCCTGTATCCTGGGTTTCCCAGTCCTAAAATACCATGTACTGGTGACCATATGTGATGTGGAGATCTTGCAGTTCAAGTGATGAATCAATAGGACGATAGGCAGAGCATTTTTGCTTCGATTTTGAGCCTCTTGCAGGAGCTGCCTGGCTCATGCTACAGGTGGAGAGTAACGGTCAGGAGTATGTGTGCTGGGGCCCGGCTGGGGAAGCCCTGAGCAGAAGTTGTCAGTGTTGCACACACGATCCTTCCTTCTCTACTGATGAACTCTGGAAAGAGTCGCCGGACTCACTGAATCTCCATTTGAGTCCTGGCACCACTGCTTACAAACTGTTACTTCTCTCTGCCTCAGTTTCCCCCTCTATTAAAAGGGGATGACAGTAACACTCACCACATCGGGTTGCTGTGAAGACTGAATAAGGTGACTCACGTAAACTTCTTAAGTCAGTTTTGGTGCTTATTATGCACTCACGAAATGTTGGCTGTTGTTAGTGTTGATGTGATTTGAATTCAGTTGCGTTTCATCATGTGTTGCACAAGCGCAAGAAGACTTCAGGGCTGTTTGCCATGTCGAGAACAGCTGTACAACTCATGACCAGACTGTTTTATTAAGGAGCAGAGTCACGGGAACGTATGAATGTGGAGGGGGGTGAGGGCCTGTAACTTGTTTGGACAAAGTGTATTTTGTTTGCTTTTTAAAAAATCTGCTGAAATTTTCAACTCGGATTCAACGTGGCATTTTTAAATGCCCCCAATCCAGCTCTCTGTCTCGGAGGTAAACACTGTGGCTGTTGAATGATTATAGGCTGTTTTTCAGCGTGTGCTTAAAGAGAGTCTTGCAGTTTGACCGAATAGATTTGTGGTGACAACTTTCCCCTGATACATCCTTTCACTCCCTCAGAGTCTCCCTCCTCCTTCTGGTGGGTGACACAGAAGGAGAATTTGTTTTAGATCATTTAAGGGAAATTAAGAACCACGGAGAAACTGTTAGGAAAGACTTCCGGGAATTGATATGATGGAGTAGAAAAGCAGTCAATTGAGAACATTTTTTACTTCTCTCTTAATCCTTAAGGAATGTCTCAAATTCCTTAACTTTTTCCTAATCCTTATTGAAAATTAACCCATCGCTTAAAAAAAAAAAACAGACAAAACCCAAATAAACACAAAAACCTGCCACTGATCTGATTGATGCTGATAAATATGTGTTTGGGGCCGGGTGGGTGGAGGCAGGACTCTCTGACAGGGGGATCTGAGGAAGGCAGTTCTCTAGTGAACATCTGATTTGCAGGCCAGCATGCCTTCTATCCAGCCTTCTGTGGTTCAAACAGCTGATGTTAAGCCCAGGTCCTCGTTAGCTCTGAGGCTGTTGAATGCTTGAGTGCCGTGTTTCTGAACGGTTTTCCCATGCTCTGTAAACTATGCAGCAGTCTGATGTGCTGAGTGAACATCGTCTGGGGGATCTGGTGGGGGGACAGGGGCTTTGCTGCGTGAGAATGTCCCTCCTGTTGAACGTGGTGATTTTCATTGCTGTCCTAACTTTTGGCTGAGTTCATGTGGGATCCTCTAGTTGGATGATTTGGGGTTCATTCATAATTTTTGTTTAGTGGAAAAGCAAAACTCATCAGATCTCCTCTTCTTCCCTCAGGTTTAGAGTTACAAAAGTGGAGCACAAGTCAAATCAGAAGGAGCGGAGAAGTTTGATGTCGGTCAGTGGGCCCGAGGGTGTCAATGGGGAGGTGCCTGTGACACCTGTGAAGAAAGAGCAAAGTGACACAGAATAGTAGGTAAGTGGAACTATGGTAACATCAGGGGTGGTGTGGCACTTGGAGAGGGCGAGGTGCCAAGAGCTTCCCTGGGGTCTGTGGTAACATGGGAGTGGCTTGGCAGGGAAATGAAAGATGCTTCCTTGGAGCTGGTGGACTGTAGGGGCCTGAACACGATCACTTGTCCATCCAGAGCTTAGTGTAAGGAGGCCACCAACACAGGTTCCCCCAAGGGGTTGGCCTGCATGATCATGAGGAGAGAGGATTACTTGTGAGGCAATGTGGAGTGGTGGGGATTGTGGCAAACTGGTAATCACAGAATCCATCTCAAGGTTTGTATCATTACCACAAGCAGAAGTCACTTAGCAGAAGGCTAGATCTTACGGGGAAAAAAAAAAGGTGAAAATCTAGACTTTTTACATATGAAATCACCTCAAGTTTTTGAATCTTGGCAGCTTATTAAATTTCCTTTTAAAAAATCATGCAAGCTGAATGAAATATAATCTTATCATCATTTCTAGGTGAACTGTGATTTGAAAAAGGCTGGAACAAGAAAGCAATGCTTTTTTCCTTTCATTGAGTTGGAAACCAGCTTTCTCTGATGTGCCACTCTTCTAAAATACCCCCAACAGAAATTTTACTCTTTCCACCAAATATTTTGAAGCAATTTAAAAGTGAAAGTAAATGCCTCTTGGTTTGGTAGTTTTAATTTTGGAAGATATTACTTAAAAAAAAGGTTATGATAATTTGAAGCTTTCAGCTTCCTCTTTTCTTTCTGTTCTGGCTTGAGTCATATTCATTCCTTTCATGTTTCTTATTTGATGTGAAAGGATGAGTGTGAGGACTCAGGAGTGACCAGCTCCAAAGTCTCCAGTGGAACCATCAGAGTCTGAATATTAAGGCAGAAGGAGTTGTACTTATAAAGGGAGGGGGAGGTGTAGGGTTCTAGAAGGAACAGGGGACTAGCAAGGCTGAACCTGGGCCCTGGAATCCCACTGCCAGGTTCAAGTCCCCGTTCGCCACTGGCTGCACTGGGACCTGGGCAAGGTGCTGGGGCTTTCTGTGCCTGGCTTTACTCACCGGGGAGTGGAAATGACACTGCCTGCCTAGAGGGATGGCAGTGAGGTATCAGGAAATAACACGGGAAGGAAGCCCAGGGCCTGGCAGGTGGGAAACGCTCAGTCAGTGCTACTGATGAATTCACTTTTGGTCAGTGTAGCTGAGGGTGGGGAGAAGTGGCTTTGGAGTGCAGCTTCTTGGCTAAGCTGCCCAGGATGGTCTAGCAGTAATCTGGGAGAGGAGCGCTCCTGGATTCTGGTACATGTAGGGGCTCTGACAGCTTTCCAGTGCTAGTTCTTGCCATCTTGCCTTTGGGAAGATCTGGTCCCTTCCCTTGAGTTGAGGAGCCCAGACCGAAAAATCGGTCTTTGGCTTCTCAGCCAGTTACTAGTGCCTTGGGAAGGGAACCAAGAAAAATTCAGAAAAAGGAGAGGGTGATGAAGATAATGAAAGCAACTAATGTCGATTCAGTATTCTAGTCTTCTGGGCGTTGTACTGACGTATGTCTCACATGTCACCATTATAAACATCTCCTAATGGGGTGAATACCATTATCCCAGCTTTATAGATGAGGAAACCAATGCATGGGGAGGGTAAGTTACATGTTCAGGGTCACGTAACTGGAAAGAGGAGCTGATCTGAACTTACAGCCTCTGACTACAGAACTATCTGCAGTCTCTGCCATCCTGGGATGCTCATGAAGGTGCAGCTCTAGACCCATGAGTGGGGAACATTTCCTCCAATGGTCTAGAACCTCATGGTCTACTGTAGCCTCTAGTCACTTCTGGCTGCTTAAATTTAAATGAACTAAAGTGAAAAGTTTAGTTCTGCAGTTGCACTAGTCACGTTCAAGTGTTCATTTGCCACCGATAACTAGCGTCTGCCATATTGGGCAGCGCAGATACAGAACATTTCCGTCATCATGGAAAGTTTTATTGAACAGAGTAGACGGTACCTTTGATGTTAGCGTTGGAATCCGGGGTGACTTCGGTCAATGAGAGAAATATTCTGATGGAAGTCGTGAGGACTTGCTGGTCTGGGAAGAGAAGTATCTGGCTATTCGAGTCTAAGGTGAGAAGGCTCAACCAGTTTCACTGCGGGGAAAGCGTGGGTTGTGCGTGAGGCGTCAGGCTGGCAGCGTGCTGAGAGATGGAGCAGGCCGTGTGGGAGAAGACAAGGCTGGCCCTCAGGCGGGAAGCGTGAGGTGACCCTCTGTCAGGCTCAGCCCAATCACAGCCTGGCTGATATTCCTTGGCTGGTTTTGGCTGCTGCGGCCCGGAGAGAGACACTCACGACCTGGGAAGGTTAAAAGAATTGGGGTTGTTCAACTAGTTTTCTCAGTCCAAATTCTGTCTGGATCTGGATTGGACCCAGTCATCTGAAATCCTAGCCACATCTAGCTCATTTACACCTTGATATTCTCTGCAAAGCACACAGTCAATGTTTATAAAAGAGCATCGGATTTGATGAGGAGACCTGGCCACACATCCGAGCTTCACCACTTGGAAATTGTCCTTAACTGCCCTCGCGCCTGGTTTCCTTGAATGTGAAATAGTGTATTAAATTCATTGATGGGAGGCCAGTGTCTGGCCTGTCCTTGGCTCTCAGTAGTGTTATGCCATCCAAAGCAGTGAGCACACGAGTGACCCTAGAAAGGGGATGTGTTTTCTGAGCCTTCAACTTGATTGTAATTAATGTTGAAATTGAAAAAAAATTTATTACGGGAAATTTCAAACTGACTCAAAAGGAAAGAGAATAGTATCATGAATGCCCACGGAGTAGTTTAATTGTGATACGTGCTGTGTATTGAGCATCTGCCCTGTACCTGGCATGCTTTGGAAGGCATATTCCACTCAGTGACGGGTTTAGTCCTCACAGGTAGGGGCCAGTTTAAGCACAGAGAGTTGAAGCTACTTGTGTAGAGTCTCCAGCAAGAATGTGGTGGCATTTAGAGTCCAAATCAGGCAGCCTGGCTTCTGAAGTCCCAGACTTCACCGCTCCGCTGGGTCCGGGGAAGGCAGGTCCCGTGGGGTGAGCGAGCCTGCTGGGCTGGGACCTGTGGAGTGATGATGTCTGGTGACCCCAGCAGGGAAGGGACTCTGAGAAAGGAGGGAAGGGCATATTCACTGACACTTAAAAACATTTAGGTATTCCTTAAAATTTTTCTTGCTTGAGTTCTTAATATTTCTCATGCCCAAACAGAGTATGTCTGGGCTATTTAATATGATTTTCTAACTAGAGAAATCCTGAAATTTTCCTGTCTGGACCCAGGTCTCTGCTTCTGGGCTGAATTGGAAAATGTGCACTGGAATGTAGCTCACACAGTGAGACAGGAGGGTTAAGTCTTTGTTCTACTAGCTAATACAGTTTTTAGAGTCGTATTTGGATTTTTGGCCATGCTTTTTTACTGGAATGCCTTCTTTTAATGTAGAACTGATTCAGCTGTTCAAGTGCAAATACATGTCTACTCACTGGTTAGGTTTCCTTTTTTTTAAAAAAAAAAGCAGTTGATACTACAAACTAAGCTTAGGATCTCTCTCTCTCTCTCCCGCCTTCTCTTTTTAAAAAACAAAATCTGCTGTTTGGCATTTCTTCCCCCCTTTATTCTTTCTTCCCCGTTTCCTTGGCCTGAGTTCTTTTTTGTAGTTGGATCTAACTTGCCCTCTGCCTGATTTATTTTGGCAATGCTGTTAAAATGGTTTCTTTTTTCCACAGAAAATGTGTTTTGATTTCTTCTTAGAAGAATAAGCTTTTGTTCTTCAAAGTTAAATAAATCAAATTGCTTTCAGCCTCCAAATGCCACTGCCTTGTCTTTATTATCACTGTTCTTTCGCTTTTTAAAAACGATGCTGTCGTAAGCGTTCTGTAGCGCGTGTTTCTGAAGTGTCTACTTTTCCTAGTTTATGGTATTAAAGTTCACATAACACTATTTTTTATCAAAACAAAAATTCATTATATTAGATGTCTCTTTATTTCACTTATTTTTTGAGGTTTGAGTTTCCTTTTTTAATTTTCAATTGAAGTATTTGATTTACAATGTGTTAGTTTCTGGTGCACACATGGTGATTCAGATACACAGATATATATTCCTTTTCATGTTCTTTTTCATTATAGGCTATTACAAGATATTGAATATAGTTCTCTGTGCTATGCAGTAGGACCCATTGTCTATCTGTTTTTCATCTAGTAGTATCTGTTCTTTATTTTAAATTGTTTTATTATTGAAGCTATTAATTCTTGTTTCAGTCATTTAGCGTAGTGACTACAAGCTGAGTTTTAAACTGCTTAGGTTTAATTTTAACTGTATCACTATCTACTTATGGTTTCGGCAAGTTAACCCCTCCAAGCCACAAGTTCTTTGTCTTTAAAATGGGGGCGTTGGATGTCAGTGACATAAATGTGTGTGTGTGTAGTTCTGAAATCAGGCCTAGGCAGAGTTACTATTAACTAAGTATTCACTATTGTCAGTAACTTTCACCCCATTCACAGGGGTCCTGGTTATTTATTAGCCCATTTCTCAAGCATCAGTTTTAGATACTGTGACTCCCATTTTACATCTTAAGAACATTAGAGCTTTGGACTCTCTGGACGTCTCAGAAATAGATATTTGGCAAGTCCCTTAGGAATTTGGGCCATTTTCTCGTTTGTGTTAAGAGGGCCTTAGAAATAGCCATGCCCCTCCCACTGGAGGTGGAAACAGAATTAGTAACAAGGCAATTGGGAAGTTTTGCGACTTAAGTTCTTTTCATTGTAGAGGTCAGAGGAGGGGCTATGCTAAGAGGTGGTGTGGACTGAGATTTCTGCACGTAACCACACTGCTGCTCGGCTGGGGCTCTGCCCTGGGATGAAAGCGTCCTTTCTGCTGAGACTGTTTCATGGGCCACGCTCCCTCCCGCCTCGGGACCGTGGCCGGTCACAAGGTCAGCTTTCCTGACCTTCGGAGCCTTCATTTCCCGAGGAAG